ATTAACGAAAATGTAAAAATTTAAGTTGGAAAATAAGTAAAAGTAATGTTATTGAAAGTTGTAAATTATCTCATTAGAAACGTTTAGGCGAAAACCTCACTGAAATCCGAGTTATAACGAAGAAGTTATGAGTTTCACGACATAACCGGCACGACGTCTTATGACGTAAAAAGTGATTTTATGATAAACTACTTTTTATCCCTAGTGATCTAAATGAAAGTCATAGTATTCGTTAAACCGAGAATTTCCATAAAAAGAATGTCCAAATCTAACTTCATATTAGGAAATTAAGATTTTTCTAAGATTCGGCATAGCAGTACACAACCCGAAACTCGAAATAAAGATCGAGTGATTTTTAGCCAACACAACCTAAACGAGAATCGAAGATCTCGTCAATAGTAGTTCAACAGTAAAAAGACAGACGAAAACGGACGTCGGATGAAGAAGTTATGAATTTTTAACGGACTCTTCCTGTCCCGGCATGTTAAAAATATAACATTAAAAATGAACTCAAAATTAGCCGATTGAGTCTAAACGAAAGTTGTAGAGCATAATTTCACCTACGTGTGCATATAAAGAACGTCAAAAACAGAGCTCGTATGCGAAAGATACGAATTTTTGAAGTTTTGGGCACAAACTTCGAGGCTGGTCCGAAGGAGTACGCCCAGCGTACTCGTGTAAGTGCTCCGGAGTCCGTCACCCTCCCTACTCCTTCGCATGAGTGCCACGTGTCGTAGGCTTGACGCGTCCGAGCTGATCCACTTCGTATGCCCAGTGTACGAAGTTACGCCCAGCGAAGAAGTCTGTGAGGCAGTACGCCCCGCGTACCGGAGATTTACGCCAAGCGTAATGCGAACCCTCGGGTACTACAAATAGAAAGCTAGGTTCTCCGAATTTTGTATAGAATTTTGACTCTCTTTCACCCCCTAATCTCTCTAAAATTACCCTAACACCCCCCCCCCCCCCCCCGAAGCGTAGGAATCATCCCCGACACCCGAAAGCAAGTCCTGACGCACCGAAGATCCGAGAAAATAATATTTTCAAGTTGAAACTCTGCCTGCACAAGGCCCGGTTTTCAACTAATATCCCCGGTTTCGTCAAATAAAATCATTTTTAGAGGCGAAGTGCTGCCCAAATTATCATTTTATCAATCGGTTATTTCACGGTGAGTTCAATATAGGGACAATTGTATGTTATGTGTTATATGTGCAATCTGCTTTCCCGTGTTATTATGATAATGAGCTATACCTTTGACCACGAAGTGAATGACTAAGAATCACTTGGGTATTGGTATGTAGCTTTTGACCATGAAGTGAATGATTAAGCATCACTTTGGCATTGGCAGAAGGCTAGGCAGGGCTGAAAGCCTATAAATTGCTAGCCAAATGATAATCTGAAATTGTATTTTCTACGCCACTTGGACGGAAGTCTTATTGATGTATATCATGTTGAAATTGTTGTATCTCAATTTTTGTAAAGCTTTGAATCAGATTATTCGTTGATATGGAAAGTCTGTCATATGATACTCATTTGCCTTTGTTGTTCTTTGTCCCTCTTTGCTTCTGTCATATTGATATCTATATATATATATATATTATATATATATATATATATATTATATATATATATATATATATATATATATATATATATCTATATATTATGGCATAACATTATATTGTAACTGTTATTGAACTCACTAAGCGCCATCCGCTTATCCCTCTCAATGTTTAAACTATTGCAGGTGATAAGCATCCAGTATAGTCATGTACTGGTAGAAGATGTAGAATAGATAATATTATAGCTTTGTATTTAGTGTATAAATTCCTGGGAAATTATGTAATATATAAAACTTTGTAAAAACCTCGTTAGTCGGTTTGTATCCAGTCTTTTGTAACAAAACCATATATGTAAAATATATTTATGAATATGCATGTAGCATGTTTGGAGTAATAATGTTAATTATGAAAGGGATCTTTCAATATGTATTTTATATCTACGAATATGTTGGGTAGAACATGGATAGATAAATAATGAGGGATGAAAGATGATATAGATAAATATTGATAGTTGCGCCATAACCCGTAGGTGTTTTTCATTTACGTGTTCACTAGATGTACTCTAAATATTATGGTAGCTGCGCCTAAGGGATAATATTGACAGTTGTGCCTAATAGATACAACATAATCCTAGCAGTTGCGCCTAAAGAATAATATTGGCAGCTGTGCCTAACAGAGAACGTCATAATCCTGGCAGCTGCACCTAAATGGTAATATTGTGTCACACCCCCAAACCAGACGGCGGAAACGTACGGGGGTGGATGACTTCATTTGTAGTAACACAACACATGCATCATAGTAATCAAAGTACAAACAACCATTGCATTAATAAGTATAGGTTTTTACATATGTGTTCAACCAATGTATATTGACACCAAAATATAGTAAAATCTGAAAGACGCAACTCAAAACTGCTCCGTCTTCTCAAAAGCTCGGGGTGTACCTGTCTACTGGTTCCCTTAGAATACAAGTATTTTGAAAAGAGAGTATCAACATAAAGTTGAGTGAGTGCATAAGTATGTATGTTTGAAATTTTGTTTTATGTTCCTTGAAAGTGTTTACTGTTCCAAAAAATCCTATATTTCCTGCTGTAACTAGAAAGTAGTTTTAATCCCACAAAACCGTTCTGTGTATGTATTTTTGTACTTATAAAGTAGTGTAACATAATTTTAGTTCACAATAAAACTATAAAAGTACGTTTTCCGTATTGTATGTTTTCCTGTTTTGTAAACTAGTGTTATGTGTTTGTATTCCTCTGTAAAACTTGAAAATGTAAGTGTGTCTGGCTCCACCAGCTGTAATTGTAAATTGTATTCTTGTAAAACTAGTACTTTGAAATTGTACTAATGTTTTAAGTAATTAAACACTAATCGCTTGGTTAAATATCTTTTTAGTGAGTTATTATAACCATACTATGACCTGAATGCCTAAAACGACACTTTGAAAGTGTCGGAACTGATGATAACAACTGTCACTCATAGGCATGCCTGGGCGACTGTAGCTAACAGTCTGAGTGTGGGATTGTCAGTCCCATATAGATCTATAGATATTTTTCTCGTTCACCGCCTTAGGGATTCTGGTTATAATGTCAGGACTTTAACTATGTTGTCTAAATGAATAAACAACCTGAATATGACTCACAAAAAGCATATTAATGATTACGTATAATAATGAAAACTCAATCATTCTGAAATAAATGATTGTAAGTATGTTCCTTATTCTATACACTTGAAATATAATGTAAGTTGTACTTACGGGGTTAGTTTTGAACCAAACCTTGAATTATCAAAAATGGTGTAACTTTGTGTACTCTACTAGTAAAGTAGTGTTCTTGAATTATATACCTATTATAATGTATATGTACGCTCTGTATTAGTATGAACTGCTCATATATGCACCCTTTTGCTCAACGTATTACAAAGGGTGTTGAAACTGAATGAAACAACTTTTATATTTATATACAAATACAAAATATATATAACTAAAATTTAAACAACATTCGGACAAATAATCATGCTATAACCCCACATCCAAACAAAGAAAAGGAACCAAAACAAATTATTAGTCATAAGTCCTTTAAATCTTATATTATATATATATATATATATATATATATATATATATATATATATATATATATATATATGAATTTTGGCAATAATAAGTTTAAAAGGAGTTTTAAAGCATTTAAAAGATTTAACAATATTTAGAAAGAGTTTAAGTGACTTGATGTCATTTTGAATCATTTAAAAAATCATTTGTTTATAACACAATTTCATTGTGTTAGACTTGTATTCCCCCCCCCCCCCCTTAAAACTATAAAAACAGTGAAAATACAGGGTTATGAACTCACCTTTTGTGAGTGGTATGATTGTTGAATAAATATAGGATGACAAGTTACTCGAGTGAAATCCTGAAGCACAAACGAGTCCTATGTAGCATATTATGATATAAACATGTATACATTTAGTGTTCATAATCATAAAGGTGTTAGGAAACATCCTATGGTGTAAGAAACACTTACCAAAGAAGTGTTAGAATCGAAAATGGAAGGTTGATATGTGTTCACGGCCCAAAGAAGGGTTCACGGCCCAGTGTTCTTGATGAATGAAGAACACCTGAAGATCATAAGCAAGTTTCTAAGAAGATTCAAAGTTTTTCGGTCGCGTGTTCTTCGCGTAAACTAGTGAAATTAACGGTTTCAGTCTAGTATAAGAAGATTGAAGGATTTTTTGAAATGATAACAAGATCAAGAAATGATACCTGTTAGATCCTATGAAGAACTAGTGATTATCGCGTGAATATGATGAGAAAGAATGAGTTTAGCACGTTCTTGAGGAGAGAGGATGTTCTTGGCTGATAATACTTGAGAGAAAAGGGTTGGATTTTCGTTTGAAAATGTAGAAATGAAATAAAATCAGCCGAAATATATATATATATATATATATATATAATATATATAATATATAGAGAGAGAGAGAGAGATAGGTTCAGGTGTTTAAAGTAAGTATTGTGTTATTGTATGCATAAATGTGGGCCAATCAAAATTTAAAATAAAAATAAATAATTAAATAAATAAATAAGGGTAAATAAGTAATTTGATAATTACTTTCCACAGATAATATCCTATAATTAAGGTAACAATTGACTTAGTTTTCTCCACCCATCGTCTTTTAAAACCGTAACCCTAATAAACCCTTTTTGACAACGACCCCATGGACACTCTCTGTAATACTCTTGCTTGAAGTGCTAGAACAAGCGGCAAGGACAGAAACCTTAGCAACTGAATCGATGCACCCGCCTCATTCAATTACCGGTGTTGGATGACTTCGAAGAGGCGGCGTCGACACCAGCAGTCAACAGACGCAGCACAGCACAGCAGGGCGCAGGCGGCAGCAAACCTTCAGTCTTCTCTCTGTCTTCTCTTCTATTCTTCTTTCGATGGGTGCCGGAGGGCTGGCTTCCATCGTGTTTGGATTGATTGTCGATGCCTTCGGTGACGCTAGCTTCAATGCGATCGGTACAATTACGTTTAGTATCGCCGGTGCCTGTGGCGACGATGATACACTCATGTCCACCGCCGTCCGCTTTCCTGCTCAGGTAATTTAACCAAAAATTACTTTTCATAGTCGTGATTTTTGACGAATTAAGGGTTTCCAATTCCCCAAATTGTTAGGTTACAGTTGAAATTGCGAAAACAGATCGTTACATTCAACTATGAATAGTGCAGAATTGGATCAGTATTTGTTGATTATTGGTGTTAAACATGTAAAAATAGTGTTTGGTTTCTGAATTGTTGACAGGCGATTGGTGCAGCTGGTGGTGTGATGTCTCTTTTGGAGTTGATGCCATTAGAGTACAAACATCTGCTAGAAGGACCTACTCAAAAAGTAGATTTGCATACTGGAGCCATTGCTGAGGGAGTTTTGACTTTCGTTATCACTTTTGTTGTTCTCTTGATCATCATCAAGGGTCCTAACAGCTTGTTCTTGAAGAATTGGATGCTTTCCATGGCAACTATGGTGGTGATTCTTGTTGGTTCAAGCTACACAGGTCCTTCAATGAATCCTGCAAATGTAAGTATTACAAAACTCTTTAAGTTTATAGTTAACAGAGTTCCTTGATCCCCATATCTTATCTTTGGCAAGATTTATAATTCTTTTCACCACCTGTATTTTGGATTGCAACATGAGGCCTTGAATCTGTGCAAGAGCATGATGAGGAGAGGGGAATGCCCTCCACTTATGGTTGTTTTTGATCCTGTAGAAGGTTAAGTGGGTTTTTGTGCCTAAACCTTGGTGTTCTTGATATTAATATATATATATATATATATATATATATATATATATATATATATATATATATATATATGTTATTGTTGCAGATTCACCGTAGAAGCTGATAAATGTATCAAAGACTGGACAATAATCATTGAATATGTTGGAGATGTTGATTACTTACAGAGCCGGGAAAATGATGATGAAATCATGAATTCCAATTCTGTTGGAATGGAATGACGAATTCCAATTCTGTTGGAATCACAGAAGTTGATGCTTGAAGAACGGACCACAAAATTGAAACGGACCACATTATTCTTTTAGAATGTATTAGTCGTTGTTAGATTTTGATGTATTTTTTCCGGTTTTGATTGTTTTTTAGTTTTATTCTTTAACATTAAATGTAATTATTAACAATTTTTACCCGTATTCTATAAGAAAAATGTATTTTTGTTTTTATTCTTCTAGTGATTGTTCAAGAATTTGTTATTCTACAAGAAGTTTTTAAATTCATGATCAAGAAATAGGTTCAAGAATATTTTTATTATTTATGGTTCAGAATTTTTTAATTTTGAATATACTCATAAACATATTCTGTCAGAATGCCCGAATTAAAATAATTATAATTCTTAAAATCGGATTTTTAAAATTAATAGAATCTATGATCCCTTAAAAAAATACAATTTTCCTTTATTAAGTCTATATTAATTGACTGAATTACCCTTATAATTAATTAAGATGATATTTTTCAATTATATTTAATTCAATAATATATATTAATCACTTTCTTAAAATATGTAAATTTGATTGGCTCACATTTATGCATACAATAACACAATAGATACTCTAAACAAAATAACCTAAGCCTATATATATATATATATATATATATATATATATATATATATATATATATAATATATATATATATATATATATATATATGGAAGATGTTCACGGTCCGAAGTGGTTCACGGCCGTGAACCTCGTATGCAGCCCGAAGCCTGATCACGACCTCGGTTTACGGACCGAAGGCGGTTCACTGTTCACGGCCCAAAGGCAGCAAACAGTTCACGGCCATGCGAGGTTTGCGGTCATGTTTGCAGTCCGAAGAGAACAAAGAAAGAAGGAAAGAGGATGCGAAGTTTCTCGGTTTTTCGAGCGTTTTCCTTCTAAATTCTACCACAAATATTCTAAGGTTTTCAACATGTAAAAAGTATTATTCTAACCTTAGTAGAAATCCAAACAATAAAGGGGACTTTAGTTGACCCAAGTTTGACTTTGGTTGACTAGGGTTGACTTTACAAGTAGAAAATAATGGGATGTTACATATTGGCAGTTGTGCCTAATAGATAACATTAGCAGCTGTGTCATAGGCAACGATGGACTTCGTGCCTATTCCTTAGGATAATCCTTAGGAATGAATGAATGAAGGATAGCTGATTCTTAGGGTAGATCCTTAAGAATAAAGAAGATAATGGGGATGAGTAATTGGGTTGATTGTTTGATGATTAATCATAATAATTATATTATTATGGGTTGAAAACCCTATATGCTCACCAGGTTTCCCAACCTGACCCACTCAACTTATTTGTATCACATGTGTCGATACGAAGCTACATTACACTAAGAGATTAAAAGAGATGTAGATCACTAGTATAAATAAATGTAAGGTATGTTTATGTTTATGTTTTTGTATTGACGATGACATCCCAAAGTTTTAATATAATGAAATACATTTCTTCATAAATGCTTTCATAAAATCTTTATCATATTTATGGGAACAAATTCCGCTATATTATTCTTTAAAATGAATACTCTGATTTTCAAATAAGCATAAATAATTTTTTTAAAATGACCGTGAATTTGGGGATGTCATAGTTGTGCAACCCAAGCCCATGAATTTTATGGTTTTCAGCGTATTTAAAGGTAAGGTGTCATGTTTTAGGGTATTTTATTAGCCTCCATCACATCTAGAGCTCCCTTGGAGCAACCCTAGCATCCCTCTTCATAGATTAGACTTCTCCCTTATCCTCTCATCAATTTTTGGTGTTTTGGTGCATTCTTGAAGAAGGTGGTGTCATTTGGAGCATCAAGAAGGAGTCTTCCAACCTAGAATTCTACTTCTAGTCACATTCAGGACCTTTGTAAGTCACAAAATTCCTTGCTTTTTGGTATCTTGTCTTTGGATCTTTAAATATTATGAGTTTTGGTCTATATTAATGAGTTTTTAGTGAGAGTTGGGAATAAATTTTTCAACTTTATTACACTTAGAGGCCCCAAAAACATTATACGATTCAGATCTAGACTCACAAGCTGTTTTGATGTCATTATTGGGATTTTAACCCCCATTTCTCACCATTTTGACCTGGTTTTGGGAAGGACATGTATTGGAAATGAATTTCCATAAACTTGGGATTTTTATGGGCCATTTGGATGCAAAGAAGCCTCCTAGAATGTTTGAGTGGCTAACTTAACAGATTAAGGACTTAATGGAGTTTTGGATATGTCGCGTTGCCACGACGTGGTCAACTGTTGACCACGACTAGGAGGGAAAATACATAGTGATCTGCATTGCGCTCGACCACGGCGTGGCCATGGTATTACCATGATGTGGTGGTCCGCCAAGTTCACTTGACTGTTGACTTTTGACCAATTTGATTTTTGGTCAAACTTAGGTAGAATTGAGTATTTGACTTAGGACTAGTTCCGGTTTGGCTTTAGGTAGCATGGGTAGTTATTCTGTTGTTGAGATGGTTGTGGAGCTTCTGTTGTTTAGCTCAGGTGAGTTTTCTCACTATATCTTGTACTGCAGTATGTATCCATTTATGTTAGGATGTTGATATGTTGTAGTGATCTGTTAGACAGGTAGATGTGTTATGATTACTTATGCTTGCTTGTTGTTGTTATGTGCGTATGTCGACATATTATGGTTGTGTTGAGGCGGTCCAACTATGTGTTGAAGGCTAAGAGTCCCGGACGGTCCAGTTCATTACTGTAGGCCAAAGGGGAGTGGTCCAACTTGATATTGTAGGCTCAGGAGGGCGGTCCAACTTTCTGCTGAAGGCCCAGAGGGGGATCCAGCTTTCTGCTGAAGACCCCGGTGGCAGTCCAGCTGTATGTTAGAGGCTTTGTGTGCATGCATTGTATATGTATTTTTTTGTGGAATATTTTGAGGAGCTCACTAAGCTTTTTGCTTACAGTTGTAGACTAGATGTTTTTCAGGTACTTTATCGGTTCGTGGGAATGCGAAGGCAGGACTGTACATACATATATCAACAATTTTATGATTCAAGATTCACATTGTTTTCCCTTATAACTCTGATTTTGAATTACGGGCTTTGAACACATGGTTTTGACTTGGATGTATTTTACGGAAATCAGTGTTTATTCTATTTAAAAAATGAAAATTTTATTCTGGAAATTGGGACGTTACATATATCAGGATTGATTGATTGTTGGAAGAGGCTTAATCATCTAAACATTTCATCTACTAGATTCGTAATAACTATTAAATCTCATGAGAAATATAATGAGCTCTTGATTGCTTGTAGGTTCTTGGAGCTTATGAGTTGCACCACAAGTACAATGAGGAATAGATAACAATGTACCTAGTTCATCCTAACTTTTATGGAGTTTCGTAAAGTAAGTAGCGTGATCATTAGTTCCTTGTGAAAGATTTAAAATCTCTTTATGATGTTGATAGAGCTCAACTCTGTTTAATTGTCCAAAAAGATCATATAATTCATTCCAAATCTCACTTGATGAAAGAAGAATATAGAACGAATCTTGTTGTGTCGTTGGTTAAAACATTGAGGGCCGGCGTAGTTACCATGTCATTACATCCTTGTCATAATTCGATATTTTGATAAATATAAATAAGTTTTCAAATCTTTCCATTCACGATGATAGAGAAATCATCACAACTTTATTCCATGATTTGCAGCTGGAGCCATCAAAATGTATGCAAAACTAATATAACATTCTTAGATGATCAGGATGATGAAGATACAAAGCATCAGTAGAATTATTTTAATTAGTTTGCAAATTGATAGTTGGAATTGTCATCAATGAATTAATTAATTTATTGAATAAAATACAAAAATCAAAGGATTAGAGATTGAATAATCAAAGTTTCAAAAAGATTTGAAATTAAAAATCAAGAGCATTATGCTATGATACCATATTGATTGAAACATAATCGAGAGTAGATAAGAGATGATTGAAATTGTTGTATTCTCATTAATTTACCAAGTAAGACGGAAAGTTACGTATATACATGAATGTGAGAATTAGAAAGTAACTACCAACTCTAATAAACATTTACCAAGCTAACTAACTCTCTAACAAGTTTGACTAAGGTCTCGTTTGATAGTTTCTGTCTGGGAAAGTGTTGTCCGGTAAAGTGCTGTCTGGAAAAGTTTTCTAACTGGGAAAGAAACCATGATGTTTGATTGTACATCTGATTGACTGTGCTGAATGATGAAAAAAAGTAATAATTCAATAAAAAATAAATTTAAAAAAAGTTATTTAAAAAAAATAATAATCCAAGAAAGAAAGAAAGAGGCTGGGTTTGGTGCATAATTGTCTTTCCAGCCCATTCAGCCAGAAAGATATGATTTTGGGGCTTTCTGGGAAAGACACGTCTTACCGGGAAAGACCATTTTTTTGTGCAAATCAAACAGTCTTTCCGGTCCATTCAGCCAGAAAGATCTGTTTGGACCTAGAAATATGCGTATCAAACGGGACCTAACTGAATGACGTTGTTAACTAACTAGTATAAATATCAACACGTAATTGTATATTACGTGGTGCTTGAGATAAATTTGTTAAAGTTAACCAATATATGATTAGAAAAACTTACAAATACAAATTTTAATATATATTCGAAATGAATGTATGATGTCCGAAATATCGGATTGAGAACTATAGTAGTATAGTGTGTCATAAAAAGTAGTCTGAAATGTATAAATGTCTAGTTAAGCAAGACTTGAAAT